TTTTCTAGATCACACCATGGAAGTTGACTTGTGTCATTTGATGATTCAATTAAGAAAACAATACACTATATTTCTATTCATATTATTTATCTGGCCATTTCCAAATTTAAAATTTAGTTTATTTCAAAAATGCGACCATGAGTAAAACTAAACTCAATCTCCTTAAATAAGATTTTAGATTTGAAACTTGTAAATGGAAAATATATGATAGAGAGGAGATACTCCAACAAAAGTGATCAATCAAGTTCTTTGGTGAAAATTAGTCATCAACAAAGTAAGTAAATTCTTCATAATAATAACAGATTATATAGAAAATAATACTGGAAGTAGACATTTGGTCACTCAAAACAAGCCTCTTAGGTGCTCTAAGTGAGAAGGATTTGCTTAGAGGTACAACAAATTTACTCTAAGCGAGTGAAGATAGAGGACAACTTTAGACGTATTCACTTGGTCGCTCAGAGAGAGCAACATGAGCACTTTAAGTGACTAGATCCAACCTGAAAACCCATAAAAAATTATTATAAAATTAAGGTTTCTATAGGTCTCTATAGGAGTTCATATTGTAATACATTCTTCTTAGTATAATTCTAGATAGATTAAATGGGGCTCTATGAGATCAATACTACAATCAGGAATTGCTCAAAGATTCATCTATTGTTATAATCCTTAGTCACGAGTGACTAAGTTATCCATTGTTGGGAATTGAGGTAACTACTTGAACTATGTAATTTTTTATTTTTATTTTTTATTTAATAAAGTATTTATTCAATTAATTATTTTAGTTTTATACTTAATGCTTGTACGTTGTGGCCTGATCAACCACATCATGATTTTATAATTTTTAATTGAGGTTAGCTAAAACACTAATGACACTTATTATCAAGGAATTGAAATAGACCTCATCAGTCAAATTTTGGTCCTTGACCTTAATGTATGATTGTTTAACAAAAATTATCGAGGATTGAGATTTTCCTTAAATAACTTAGAATTTCTCACCTAAGAAATTATAATTTAAATACAATTGTGGATTGTCGCATTAACTATATACTTATAATGTTAAATGAAAAACAATAAAATTTTATATAGGGATAGTTAATGAATCAATCCTTAAATGCTTTTATTATTAGTTAAATTTTATTACAATTTACTGTTTCATATTATTCTATTACATTTAAACAATAATGTTTGAATAATTTTAATGACTGTAATTTTTCTATTTGATACAAATATTATATTAAACAATTATAAATCTAAGTCTCTATGAATTCGATACTTAGACTTTTGTCTTTTTTACTACTACTAAGGAAGTTACAAGAGAAGAGAGACATGGTGAATAAGCTTTTATAGGTGATGTTCTAAGGTAGGATGGTGCAACTAAAAAGATGTACCCATGCACATTAATGACTGCGATTGGCAGTTCCTCAATCCAACGGTTGGGCAACATGGCATTTTTGAATAAGTTGTCCAAATATCTTGATTTTTCCCCTTTTACTCTTCAAAATTCAAAAATTAAATGATTACGTAGTGGCACAAAACATCACCATGCTTGTAGGAGATGTTTTGCCATGTTAGCTCCTTTCAACTCCTTCACTATTTTAAAGCTTGAATATCGAAGAGCTTATGTTACTACCCAAGTCAAAGGCAACTTGGCTAGACCCAATAAAGATCTAAGGGGGTGAGCTATGTCTGTCAAGCAAAGCATGTACATGCTAGTCTCTCAACTCGAATAGATCGAGCTAGATAACACTTGAGACAACTATCAACTAAGTCACTAAATTCAACAAAAATCATGCCACTTTCTCTTGCTATCCAAAATCTACATAATTATAATTGACATATATACTTGATAATCATTGGATAAATTTTGAATCTAGTAGACTACTTACGAATTCTACTAAGAACATATATTTAATTATTATAAATTTGATTGTAAATTAACTTATAACCAATAAATCAATATAATATTCTTACTTGTAGCATAATTGTACAGTTTTTATAACATTATTTATAATATACAGTGAACATGTTGCATATTTAGTCTAAAAACACTCAATCATAAACATGCTGCTTGATAAATTGCAGCAATAAAAAAAAATCTTTTAATATTTTTACATTTTCTGTTTTTCATCGGATATCATAAAAAAAATTGTAAATTAAAATCTAGAAATAATTTCTTTGAGGAATGAGGACAGTGTTTGGGCCCACAAGGTCTAGAAAGGAGAAGATTGTGTTGAAAATGATAATTACTTGGCGTTTGAATACTATTTAGAAGCCCAGAACCAGAAGTAGTTACCTCGACTTTGTCCGGTTGTGGGCTAAACATAGTTGATGTGATAAGGATCTGTCAGAGAACCGAGAAAAGGAAGCAGCAAGAACGTACCCAAGAAAAGAAAGAAAGAAAGAAAGAAAACGGTGTCATTGTGTCAATACTCAATGCAATGAATTTGCCATTGCTAACTCATTAATGTTGACTTTGGCATATTGATGCACACACATACCCCTCTCTGTCATGTATCAACCCCCACTAACTTTGTCCACCCTTCAAAAGGAACCATTGCGCATGTCGTTCTTATATATATATTTCTCTGGTAAAGTATATAATATAGTATGAAATTAAACTCGATAGATAGCATGGACATGATGATGTGGTATAAAAGTGATTGGTGAGACGGTGTATATCTTTTAGTGTTTTTGACGCAAGGTGGAAAGTTAACAAAGTGATGTGTTTTCTGGGCCAGGAGCCAGTGTTTGTCTGTCAACACATGTTTGGCTTATAATTTGTACATTATATTTTAATATTTTTTTCACCTGCTTAAATAGAAGTTTGAGAATTATTTTTTAATTCTAATTTTATTAAATAAAAATTTTATGGATGAAACATGTAGTTCTTCAATTTAGGATATCCATTGTAAATGTTACGTACGTCATGAACGTAACTTTGAAGGCTTTCATTTTTGTTTATCTGTTCAAAAGTCAATTGACATGCACCCTTATTGTGACATGCATATATTAACCCAGTTAAAAAGTAATTGAAAGATTCTTTTTCGATGTATCTTTCTTCTTTTGATTATTTTTTTCGGTAAGGAAAGAGACATTTGACTATTGCAAATTTTCAATTTTGCCCATACTGGATTGATTTATATTCGAGTGCTCGCCCTATTTTTCCCCCAACCCCCATTACCATTTTTACGGTAAACAATTCATTGTAATATCATCGTTTTTAGTTCATAATGTAATATTTTTTGTTTGTTTTAATAATGGATAAAAAATAAATTCTTAATATCATATTATATAGTAGAAAGAGACATGAACTTCCACGATTAGCTATTATCATGAATGATCAAGATTTAAACAATTAAGTTATGTGAGATTTTTAAAAAGTCATGTGGTTGTTTAAGTAGTCACGTAACATTTAATCTTGACTATTCATATATCTTGAATAATTTAGATTTATTTCACACATTAAAAAACAAGTAAGTATTTTCTTATATATATATATATATATATATATATATGTGAGGAGGGATTCGTTTACTTTAAGAGTAAGTCTACTTAAACTTACTCTATTCAATAACTCATGTTTCTACATTAAATTTTAATGATCTAACCGTTGAATTTAAAGTTCTTAATGCACAAATTAAATTTGTAATTTTTTTAAAAAAAATTAAAAATCATTTGATACTTTGTTTTAACATGTTTTTATAATTATTCATCAATTTAAATTAACAAAGCAAAGCATCAAATGATTTTTAAATTTTTAAAAATTTGTAAATTTGATCTGCGCATTAAGAACTTTAAATTCAACGGTTGGATTGTTGAGATTTGATATTGAGTACGAGTTATTGAGTAGAGTCTAGGTAGACTTACTCTTGGAGTAAATAAATCCTCCTATATATATGTGTGTGTGTAGAATTCGTTTACTCCAAGAGTAAGTCTACCTAGTAGACTTACTTTATTCAATAACTCACGCTTTACATCAAATCTCAACGACCCAACCGTTGAATTTAAAATTTTTAATGCACATATCAAATTTGTAATTTTTTTTAAATTTGAAAATTATTTGATACATTATTTTATTAATTCAAATTAACGTATAAAATATTTTAAATGAAAAGAAATATTAAATGATAAAAATAATTTATATGTTAACTTGAATTAATGAAAAGAAATATTAAATAATTTTTAATTTTTTTAAATTTGCAGATTTGATCTATACATTAAGAACTTTAAATTTAACGGTTGAATCATTGAAATTTGATGTAAAACATGAATTATTGAACGGAATAAGTCTAGGTAGACTTACTCCTAGAGTAGACGGATTTCTCCTCATATATATATAACATTGTTGCTAATACAATCTCTCTTACCAATTAAAATCATTGAAAAATATAAAATTTTGAGAGATTAATTAAATAAGATATAAGACTAATATAATTTTGTGTTTTCCAGTAAATTTCGATCAATAAGAGAGAATGTGTTAAAAAAATATCTTAAAAAAGGAATTTCTAATGTTTTTTCATATATAGGGATTAGGATTCATTGATAACATGTGTCAAAGTTAGTGAAATTATATTTTAAATATTATTTTTGTAGAATATAAATTTAATGGATCTAATTGTTAAATTATATAATATTTATGACATGCATATTTACATTATTTAAATTTTTTCTAAATATGTTATCTAATATAATATATATATATATATATATATATATTTATTTAAATAATATATTATATATTAAAATAAAATGATTTGATGAACTAATAAATAATTTTAAAATTATATTAAATTTTGTACACTTGAAGATATATTGTTGGATTGGTTAAATTTTACAAGATGTTATTAAATGTATAATTGTAGTAACCCAATTTCGTCCGGGAAATATTAATTTTGTCAGCCAAGACAAGGCCCGCTATCCAAACATATTATAACCGATCCCATGCCCAAGGTCCAGTAAAACCCTAATTTACACAAAGGTACGTGCATTACTTATACGAGACTCATACACCCACAAACACTAATTTTAGCTTGCAGGTGCATTCTTACTACAATTTTAGACCCGAGACAGCATATCTTTCTGTAAATTACCTCGATCGTTTTCTTTTGTCACACTCCTTGACGGTATTACTTCCATTCAAATTGGTTTATTTGATGAAATGTAACATGCAATTTTTGTTTTAACAAAGTGGCATGCTTGTGTAGGAAGATTCAGCATGGCCTATGCAGCTGTTGTCAGTTGCTTGTCTTTCACTTGCAGCAAAAATGGAAGAAACCAAAGTGCCACTTCTTTTGGACCTTCAGGTGATCGAGTCCAAGTTTCTTTTTAAGCCCAAAACAGTTCAGAGGATGGAGCTTTTGGTTATGGCCAGTCTCAAGTGGAGATTGCGTACTATAACCCCTTTTGATTTTATCCACCTTTTCATTGCCAAGCTTTCATGCTCTGCTTCCAGATGGCGAGATTTAAGTTACATTGTTTCTCGTGTCTCAGATGTTATTATCAGAACATGTCTAGGTATCAGAACCTTCTCTATTCTCTTGCAATAAAAGTTAGATACAAATCCTTAAATATTGTTGTTACTATTCTTTAATCATTTTACTTCCTTAACCAGCATAATATGTTTGATTGGAAAATATAGGATAAAGAGTAAAACTCTAATTTTGATCGGAAAATAACTTTATAAGTAATTAAGATACTGCATCTAAGTTTTTTCTGAATATTTATGCCTGACAAGTGATAATGTGAATGAACAAATTTACTAGTCATGGATTTCTCGGAGTTTTCACCATCCACAATAGCAGCAGCTGCACTGTTATGGGTAACCAACCAACGTATAGATGACAAGAAACCGGATTGCTTCCACAAGCATATAAGCATTGTAAGTGAGCAAAATGTGATAAAGAAATTGATAGTGAGGGGTAGTTTTCTAATTTTCACGTTTTTGATGTTTCTGTCGTTAATCTTAAAATACAGGAGATGGTGCATACATGTTACAAACTAATGAAGCAGAAACTGATCATTCGCCGATCAGAATTTTTTTGGTCAAAGACTTCACAATTATTGCCCCGAAGTCCCACCTGTGTGCTTGATCATGCAGCTATGCAAGAAAGCAGCGATGCTCTCAAGCCCTGACTTGAAGCCTTGCCACGTGTGTCACTAGCCAAGGAATCTAAAACATTACTTTCAAATTTTCCAGTTCTGATTCATTACGGTTTCTTTGATTTGGTGTGATTGTGTGTGCATCTTCCATCAGGTTCATCATGGAACATTTAATTGTGTGTGCATTTTGAATAAGGTTCATCATGGAAAACTCTGACTGTAAACGGAAGTAGTTATATTGAAAAAATTCTACGACGTTGTTGATTTTCCTTTTTGAACATAAATAGCGAGTTGTACCTTTATTTGTTGTGTGGAGTGGACCACATTTTTCTCAGAAGCAAATGAAATTCCTCGTACTTGCGATATGCTCGCTTCCAAATTACAGAGTTAACTCACTGATTAAACAATCATGGCAAACTCTAGTTTTTGAAGAAATAAGATAATGATCATGTGATACTATGTAGTATGTACACAAGTAACACAACCCACGTGGAAAGAGAGAAATAAAAAAGAAAAAGAAAAAGATGATAAGATGCAAAAAGAAAGTAAAAATAAACAATATAAGACGGTGTATGAATTGAAGTGTCAAAATATTAGAGTTGAACGACTAAACGGCGTCATGTTTATCCACTCAAACATGATTCAAACAATAAAGGGGAATTGAACTATCTGATGTACTGCAAATACCTATTAAGCTATAAAGAAAAGAAAAGAAAAAGGTACCGAGTAATAAGGAACCTCGAAAACAAATTGTATGACTTGAGTTGAATCCAAAACTTGTACAGCAGTACAATTTATGCTAGATATTTCTAGGTTACAAACTAAGTACTATATGCAATTACAGAATCTTATTATGTGTAACAGACAATACATTAAGCAGTACTACTAAACATTGTCTAATCCATATTTAAACAAGCTAATAAAGACTAATTTTTTGGATTTAGCCTTCACGAGTTCAACTACAAGGTTTCTTCCACTATTAAATCTAAGGGCTTTGGTCAATTGATGCTATACAGGAAAATTTGTGTTTTCTTGCTGTTGTCGACAGTTTCAGTTTGCAATATACTTTTTATAATATGATTAAACGGAAAGAAAGCATAAAGAAAACGAGGTCTATACTTATATCCTCAGAGACAAAGGACATGTGAAGAAGTCTGACCATCCATTTTCATTGGCCTTTGCCCAATATGAACACTGAATTTATCAATTTTCCATTATTCTTTTGATCTCTGTTTCAAAGTCAAAAATTCACGCACATGATTCATGAACGCTACTTTCTGCAATACAAAAAACTATTCTGAATTTGATTGTGTTTAACTATAATGCTTTGTATGTGAGAGGAGGTGCTATCAAATGGAATAAGTGAGAATTAATTTGATAGAAAATAGAGTAAAATTTGTAGTTATTTTAAAGAGTGAAATTAGGTGAGAAATAGAAGGAATTATATATTTAAATTTTCATATAAAAATAACATTTAGATATTTATATTTTTACCTTTTATTAACTTTTTGCAAACATGCATTTAGACAATGGTGTAGGATAGTTTTATTTAAATATTTATTTTGTGAAAATTATCTCACAAATCTAGTCATAAGAGAGTGGAATTAAATCTACTTGGACTTCCATCATAATATCCTCTCAAATCCACTTAAATTATCTCCTCTAAACATAAATATTTTCTTTTAATTCTTTGATAATCCTTCCCCTTTTTTTTTTTTTCATTTTTTACTAAATCATTTCTCCCAAACACAACATAAAAGATATAAACGAAGAGATTTGATAGATAGACCAATCTTAAATTAATAACATAATGCACCCATAAGAAAATAGATTTGGACTAACTTAATCAACTTTACAATTAAGATGAAAATTATTTTTACTTATATACTTTATTTTAGTCATACAATAAGTGAAATAATCTCTAACGTAAAATTCACATAACCAATGAATAATAAACTTTTATATTATCTTAAAAAAATGAGTTTGAGCTTAACTTACAAAATTGATTAATAAAGTAAAAATTATTTTAATTATATATTTTAGTTTGGCTATATTACTACATGGATATCTAACCTAAAATAAATCAAATGAAAATTTCACATAAATGAACCGGATATGAATAAGTTTGAGAATTGTTCAGTTGAGGTTGAAAAAATTTATATTCACAAATTTTTCCTTCTTGTATTATAAGACATTTTTTTTTGTTGAATGCAATTTTAAATCGATATGCAATTAGAGGATGCACTATGCTATCTACCAAATCAAGGCCGGAAACAAATTTGTGTAGTTTAAAGTCATTTTTTTTCATGCGACAAGTACGTATTTAATGCATTTTCTTAACTGTTAAGAGCTACTTATCAGGACTAATATCTTACCAATTATTCTCTCATTATTATGATGTAATTTCCTGTTTTACATTATAATCTTTTTCCTTTAAAATCATATTGATTGTCACACACAAATTGTGGTGAAATTTATCACATCTTACATTAACCATTGTGAAAGTTTGTAGGGGCCAGGGAGATGTCATCCAGTGAGAGTTTGCTACGAATGGTAGGCAAATGATTAAAACAAAATCTGGAGCCTTTATGAAAGCAAGACGCGAACAACCGAACAAGAAAGATCAGAGGGTTGCAATAAGACAATTAGTGAGGACAAGACACACGCTCCTCCTACATACTTGAACTAGACTTCAATTATTATTCTTTTCAGTAATGTTTGTACAATTAAAAACATGGCCCAATGCCCCATCGCTATTCACTGATGAATGATTTAAAAGACGAAGTTTCTCATGCCTACCAATCTGAAGATCATGATTCATGACTCATTAGTCAATGTAACACTCATGTAGACGTAGTTACTTTGTCACTTTGTCTTACTAAAACTGCGGCAGCTTCCTACCTAATGCAACTATTCAAGAAACAGAACCTCATTAATAAAAGAAGGTTAAAATATATTTTTTCATAAATTATATTTTTTCTCTTATACTTTTTTTTTTTATTGATTTTAGTCTTTTATCTTTTATATTTTAAATTAATTTGATCCTTTAAAATAATTATATTTTCAATTTTGTGACATGATTTTGAATCACATTTTGATTAATTCAAGATGTAAAATTTGTAACATTAAATTCACTTTTATGAAAAATATGAAATACAATTAACTTTTGTACTATTCGTACCGCGAAGCCGAGCTCTAGCTCGGCATCACAACGCAGAGCGACCTCGGACATACGCTAGGCGACATCAGCCAAGACAAGGCCCGCTATCCAAACATATTATAACCGATCCCATGCCCAAGGTCCAGTAAAACCCTAATTTACACAAAGGTACGTGCATTACTTATACGAGACTCATACACCCACAAACACTAATTTTAGCACCGGAGTCTCTTTTGCAGGTACCACTCCCACTTTAGAGCAGCAAGCGTACCCAGCGAAGGGGACTCGCCAATCTTGCCCAGAAGATCGTCCTACGACCAATCTCCGATAAGAATATTTGGCGCCCACCGTGGGGCCGATCAAGACAGCTCTTATCGGCCACGCTTATGGTTTTCACCCGAAGCCATAGTAGACAAGCAACGGACGACCTAGATCGCACAACTAGAATGGACAATGAAGCAGCACTGAGAAAATTGATCGAACAGGTCAACCAAATGCAGCAGCAACACGCCATCGACCTGGACAACATTCGCGCCAAGCACGAAACCGACCTAGCGGCGCTGCGCGTTGAGAATGAGCGCATTCGCGCCTAGCTACCTCGGCACCCTTCTGATCAACCCTCCAACCGAGTAATCCACATGAGGAAGAGAGGCACTTTGTTTCTCAACCACCGAATGCACCCAAGGTGGCAACCCACAGGTTTACTGTTCATCGGTCACACGTGCTGACAAATAGGTCAGACCACGAGGTCAGCAATGCTCCCGCTCAGGCTCCTAGAAATCGGGCGAGCATCTGCCACCACCCTTTTGTTGACGGCATCATGGAGACGCCCCTCCTTTTCGAATGGAAGCCTCTCAACATCGACCGCTATGATGGCACGACTGACCCAGACGAGCACGTCGACCTATACATTACACAGGTAAACTTATACACTAATGAAGATGCTATTCTGTGTAGGGTTTTTCTGACCTCGCTCAAGGGAGCAGCACTTGCCTGGTATACTCAATTGCCTGTGGGGTCGATCGACAACTTCGACACCCTGGTAAGGCGATTCACGGCGCAGTACGCCACGAGTCGACCTCACCATGTCACATCAGCCGCCTTGGCCAGTCTCAAACAGGACGATGACGAACCACTGAGGACATTCATTGTGCGCTTTGCCAACACCTCGGTCAAAATCCAAAACTTGAACCCCGAGGTCGCCCTACACGCCATGCTCATGGCACTAAAGCCAGGACCTTTCATTGACAGCTTGTGTCGACGATTTTCCCTTGACATGGACGAACTCCGTGCCTAAGCTGCAGGGTACATTCAGATGGAAGAACACTCTGCTTTTCGTGACCAGGTTCGCGAAAAATCACAGGCAAAGCCAGACCACGATCACAAAGACAAGGTGCAGGTCACCAATGACAGTCAGTTCAAGAAGGCTGCTAGGACAAATAAAGGGGGGAGATACGACTTCTACACCCCCTGAACGCGCCCCGAGTGCACATCCTGAAGGAAGCCAGCAACAACAATCTGCTCACTTTGCCACCACCTGGACACAGTCCCAATAGTGCGAAAAAATCTAAACATTGCCGGTACCATAGAAACTATGGTCACACAACTGACGAGTGCTGCACACTCAGAGATCGCATGGAGGAACTCGTCCAGAGGGGACACCTCGGACAATACGTCCAACGACAGCAAGGTCACCGAGGAGGTTACAACGGACGAGGACGAGGGCGAGGTCGCGGTTCAGGCACTCGCACAGACCAACCCTCCGGATCTCAACAAAACACTAGTGGCGCGGTGCAGGCCGAGGTAAGTCAGGAAACAGGATCAGCTCCCTTGCGAGGAGTTATCAACACAATTGCAGGTGGTTTCGCAGGGGGCGACTCTAGCATCTCGGCGCAAAAAAGACACTTGCGCAGCATCAACAATGTTCACTCCGCTACCTCGGCCCCGCACCATGGCACACCACCAATCACCTTCACCGACGACGACTACACTAGCATCTGTCGGGGCCGATCAAGACAGCTCTTATCGGCCACGCTTATGGTTTTCACCCGAAGCCATAGTAGACAAGCAACGGACGACCTAGATCGCACAACTAGAATGGACAATGAAGCAGCACTGAGAAAATTGATCGAACAGGTCAACCAAATGTGACATTGAACAATTTATTAAAAATTAAATACTAAATTTAATATTTTAAAAGTTAAAGGATAAAATTGAAAATTTTAAAAATAAAGACACTAAATCGGATAAATTAAAAGAA